TAAACCCTAAAGAGCCCTAAACCCTGGCCTGCTGGCCATGGCAGCTCGTCTCCCCATAGCCTCTCCAGAGCTGGGCCAAGAGTGATAGTTTCCCAAAGGCTCCATGTACCTTTATAGTAGATGGGTTTAGGGCTTAGGGTTTAGGGTTGATCGTTTCCCAAAGGCTCCATGTAGGGTGTAGGGTTTTGGGGTTTGGGGTTTAGGGTTTAGGGTTTAGGGCCAAAGGCTCCATGTACCTTTATAGTAGATACTTAGGCCTTAAAGGGGTCTCTATATGTCTCTATTATAGGTACTTTAAGGCTTAAGTATCTACTATATGGGTACATGGGGCCTTAGGGTTTCCTTGCATCCCTAACCCCCCAAACTCGATTATGAGGTGCAGGGCCCGCGCAAATCCTGGCTTTTTTAGAAACCTCAACAGGAATCATGCAAAAGGCTGTTACCACTGCTGGTATAGTTCTCAAAATTAGTCGCTAGCAAAAACACCCTCGCCATACCAGGAAGCGGAAGTGTGATTTGTGGTCGCAGCGGCGAATTTGCAAGCAACGGCAATGGTGGTGGTGCTCAGAAGAAACGTAGTAGCAAATATCAGTTAAACTAAAAATACTAAACCTAAGCAGTGCAGTGAGAGTAGCGCTCGAGCGGAGAACGGCAGTCAGACTAGTTCCGGTGCTGGACCGGGGCAGCAGCGCTTATTCCGGCGCTGGAGCAAGAACCAGAAAGTCTGCAATGACTTTAGTACTACAATATAGGGGCCTGAGTACTTACCAATACACACCAATACCTTCGATTCTGGGCTCCTGATTAAAACTATAGTATAAAAGCACACACCAAAACCCTATTCAACTTAATTGAAACGCACTAATAAACACCTCCAGCCCTGCTATGAGACCCTACAGTATCAGATCCCAAGCCCATAAACGCTAAACCCTGAACCCTAAACCCTACCCCTAAACCCCAAGCCCCAAATCCCCTTACTCTGAAACCTCCGTGCCGGGCCTGTGCAGCCGAACTTTCTCAGCACGTCTTTGGAGAACCTCGGGTCTCATTGCTTAATCATCCACGTTTATACATGTATATATATATATAGAGATATGTACAATATGTGTGTATATATATATATATATATGTAACACTTGTATACAACACGGATAAGCCTCACGCCATCAAATGCTGCTTCTGACTGAAGAGGCCACGCTGCTACAATCGGCAACTCTATAGATCTCCATCCAAACGTCCCGGACGAGGATGCAACATTGGACCGGAATTATGCAAACATCGACCCTGCACCCTCAACTGAAACCCCAACTAAACTTCCAACCCTGAAGCCCGAAATCCCATCAAACACCCTAAACTTTCAAAACCTCGAAACCTAAAGCCGCAGAAGCCCTGTGTACTTGAATATCGTCCAAAAGTAACATAGGAGGCCTTTGTAAATCCTGTTAATGTTAAAGCTCTCAAATAGTATGAGTATGGCATCGAACCCCAGTCAAAACCCTAGACAATCTCACCCTGAACCACCGACGCGTCGTCCCAGAAGCCCTGACATCACCTTTTGAAGCCTTCCATGTTAAACTGAACTCTCATCTTGAGGGCGTGACTTGAGCCCTAAACCCCAAACCCTAAAGATTTGAACCCTAAACCCTAAACCCTAAACCCTCGCTTGGGGGTGTTCGGCTTCAGGGACTCTCGCACGGACACTGCACACACAAAGAGACATGCGCATGCTAAATACATACCTGGGTATCCGGTTTAGGGTTTAGGGTTTAGGGTTTAGGGTTTAGGGTTTAGGAATAACCCACCGTTTCAAGGGTCAGACCCTAAAACGGCGGGGTCGTAACCTACTAGTTCGTACTTTTGAGGGATACAGGTATGCTTTTGTCCGCATCTAGTTTATGCGTCTGTATATGTGTATGGAGAATGCATTGAAAAGTGCGCATACGTATGAAAATTAGGACTAGTTAGATACAGAGACATCACATGGAAATAACAAGACGTACTTATCTAAGCCGATAGCTTAGGCTGACGTTTACGGAGCTTGAAGGGTTTGGCTCAGAAGCCGTAATGATTAGAGCAGGGCGCAAATTATCGCTTGGTGGCATTGTAAAGCAGAGGCATATTGAAGAACCTAAGCAACCCTGTTCTAGATTATGAACAGGCTTTCCTCCGCCCTGAGATCTGCCGTAGGAAACGCTGCCCAGGTGCGGCTGAATCCTGGAATTAGGCTTTGAAAGGTGTCATGGGCCCACTATCTAGCATTATCAGGGTTTAGGGTTTACCCGATATCCAAAACCCCAAAACCATCCAAAACCCGAACCAGTGTCATGGATTCCCCACAACAGAACCGCACGAGTCTTACACGCTGGCCTGCTCGGTAGGTCCTGACGTGTGGGAGGTTCGGCTAGGGGTGTACCATACTTTAAGGTTTCGGGCTGAGGAGTTTAAGGGTAGTGGAATATCTGCAACCCTAAAAAGTATAGCATTCTTCGGTATCACAAATTGCTCCGACCCGATATTCTCCGTGCCTCTTTTGAGCATTTCTATCAGGGGGGGAGGTAGGAACGCACCGGAACCTCTCATATGGAACTCTCTTTTGCAACTCGTAACCCTAAACCCTAAAACCCTAAAGCCCTAAACCACTAAAACATCAACTCTTAATCTTGAAACCTAAACCCCAAAACCTTTCAACCCTAAACCCCAAAACATTCCCAAAACCGTAAACCCTTAAACCCTAAACCCCAAAACACTTCCAAAACCCTAAACCCTTAAACCATTATAAACCCTAAACCCCAAAACAGTCCCAAAACCCTAAACCCTTAAACCCAAAACCCCAAAACACTCCCAAAACCCTAAACCCTTTAAACCCTTAAACCCTAAACCCTTAAACCCTAAACCCTTAAACCCTAAGACACTCCCAAAACCCTAAACCCTTAAACCCTAAACCCCAAAATGAACCCCTCAACCCTAAACCCCAAAACACTCCCAAAACCTGAAACCCTTAAACCCTTATAAACCCCAAACCCCAAAACAGTCCAAAAACCCTGAACCCTTAAACCATAAAACCCCAAAACACCCCCAAAACCTTAAACCCTTAAACCCTAAACCCCAAAACACTCCCAAAACCCCAAACCCTTAAACCCTAAAGCACTCCCAGAACCCTAAACCCTAAAGCCCAAAATGAACCCCTAAACCCTGAACCCAAAAACACTCCCAAAACCCTAAACCCTTAAACCCTAAACTCCAAAATGAACCCCTGAACCCCAAAAACACTCCCAAAACCCGAAACCCTTAAACCCTAAACCCTAAAACACTCCCACAACCCTAAACCCTAAAACCCTAAACCCGGAAGCCCTCAAAACGCTCTCGGACTCCTTGCGTTGGGGCTGCCGTCACCCGGACCAAGCTCTAGCCTCTGCATGTCTGCGGCTGTGCTACGGTTGATGGTATGGGTTTAGGGGTTTAGGGGTTTAGGGCTTAGTGGGTTTAGGGTTTAGGGTTCAGGGTTCAGGGTTCAGGGTTCAGGGTTCAGGGTTTAGGGTTCAGGGTTGAGGGTTTAGGGTTAAGTGCTTAGAGTGTGTAGGGTTTAGGGGTATATAAATCCTGCATTACCCATAATAAGGAATTTGCCGTGATTCCCACAGTTTAGGGTCCTTAAGGTAATGCAGGATTTGTATCAGGAACCGTATGTCTCAGATGTAAATACCTATAGTTTCCATTGTAGTTCCTGTTGGGGGGGATACCGGTCAAACCAAAAAACGAACGAGAATGGAGACTGTAGGTATAGACAAACAGGCGCCAACATGTGCAACAATCTATCGATCTGTCTACCTGTCCAGCTACCTACTTACCTGGCTAGCTAGCTACCTAGGTGTATTCTGTCTGTCTATCTACGTAACTATCTATCTGTCTGTCGGTCGGTCTATCTGTCCGTCCGTCTGTCCGTCTGTCTGTGTATCTGTCTGTTTGTCCTGTATGTTCGTATGACATATGTATGTATGTATGAATGTATGTACATACGTGTCTATGTATGGATGTGTGTATATGTGCAAATGTATGTAGGCATGAGAGTATACATACTTTAGGCCTTCAGGGTTTTTAGTTTAGGGTGTGGGGTATCTTTTGGGTTTGAAAGTTTAGGGTTTAGGGTACAGGGCGGTAATAAGGGATCATAGGGCTTTGGCTTGTGGTGTTTCGTTTGCTTTTCGGTTTGGGGCTTCGCAAGGTTTCATAGACGTTGTGTAGGGGCCTTTACGGCTGCGAGTTTGGGCTTCGGGTTTAGGTCGGGGAAGACAAAACCGATACAGGAACTGAAAAAAGGTAGGTTTCATAAGGGCTCAGTTACTAAACCCTAAACCCTAGACCCTAAACCCTAAACTCTAAACCCTAAACCCTAAACCCAAACCCGAAAACACTGAAGCCCGCGGCCAAACTATCCGCCGAATGCCACGCTGGAGCAGCCTCAGGTCAGGGCTTGGAATCAAGGCACCCAGTGGTTACTTTGGGGTTTAGGGTTTAGGGTTTAGGGGTTTAGGGTTTAGGGTTTAGGGTTTAGGGTTTAGGGCTTAGGGTTTAGGGGTCTAGGGTTTAGGGTTTGTGGTTACTTGGGGAGCCCAAACCTGCAACCCCAAACCCAGTTTTAGAGGCCTTTGATAATTGGAATGGGGTTTTTCGGGGGTAAAGTAAAATCATAATGATACAGAATCATGAAGGGGCTGTCAGGGAAGAGGCCTGCTAATAATTTCCGACCCTTCTACTGCCCGTAAAGGGTCTGGGCCTCTGGGATTTCTTTGAGGCACCTTCTCAGGCTTCGGGCTTCGGGGTATCACCAACCTGAATGGTTGTCATTGGCTTTGCTGGTCCGACGGCGCAGGTCGCAATAGGGCTTATGGATTTACCGGTTCAGGATGTTGATTTGTCTTTGTGAATAGCCACTGTCACCATGATCATCCACATGGCTAGTACTAGTGCTACTGTCAAGGCTATTTGGCATTGCCTTTACTATGATTGTTACTCATACTACCATCCGTTGGCGTCTCAGGATGTAATATAGAAGCCTGGGTAGTCATCAGTAGTATTTCTTATAGAGTTCCTTTTTACATTCACACGAACACGCAAGCCGAAACTCTCTTCTAACCACTGTTGATGACATAAATCCCGCATTACTTTGAGGACCCAAAACTATGGGAGTTATGGAATATTCCTTGTTATGGGTAATGCAGGATTTATATGATCAACCGTATCA